AGTTGTCCGATTAATTTCTTTCTATTTTTAGTAGAGATGGGGTCTTGCTCTTGCTCAGGCTGGTTTCGAACTCCTAAGCTCAAACAATCCGCCCGCCTCGGCCTCCCAGAGAGCTAGGATTACAGGTGTGAGCCACCGCGCCCGGCCTAAGATGAAATTCTTTAAATTAGAGTATACATACTCTACCTTATGTATAAAATATAATATGTAATATAGTATTATATACTATAGCACATATAACAATACATACTCTATATTATTGCTGCCTTTGTTTTTACACAATTAACAAACTCCAAGCCACAGATATAAAAGTATAAAATAACTAGTATTATATACTATAGCACATATAACAATACATACTCTATATTATTGCTGCCTTTGTTTTTACACAACTAACAAACTCCAAGCCACAGATATAAAAGTATAAAATAACTAGCAATAGAACTAATCTAAATGAATATCTCAAGAATATTTTTAAGTCTTACTTTTATTAAGCAAAGTTTACTTACATTTAATATTAAAAGTTTACATACCTGATGATCCAAAAACTACATCCCAAGGGGAACTAATGGGTTGTTGTTCTCCTTTTGCTCCACCTTCCTTATCTGTACCTTGAATTCCAATGCCAGCTACAGTGCTCACCTTCTCAGCTTCTAAGTCAATCTATAGAAATTTAATGGATGTTTTATGCAATGAATGTTAACTTTTGCTTTTGTCTTTTGCTACATAAAAGATTTCTAACATAACATTTAGAGAATATTTGCAGCACAATGTTTAAAAAAAGGCTAATCAATTATAGGGTGAACTTGTTACTGAAATGCACACAATCAGTTCCTTTCATTCCCTACCTGTCCATTCCCCCAACTTTCCTTACACACCTGTCTCCCATCATGCCTTCACCAGAACTAGTGTTGATCTCATCTTAACTATGAAATATTTTTAAAGAAAATGAAATTTTAAAACATAATCTAGCAAAATACATATTTCTTAAAATTAAATGTACAGATTTCAGTTATGCTGAGCTAGTAATTGACACATATAGAATTTAATATTTGCCAAGCACTGATCCAAGAGTGAGCCAACCAACCAGCTATCCAGCCACCCTCATAATAACCCTATGACTATGATTTTCATATTTTAGACGACACTGAGGCACAGATCGTTAAGTAACTTTCTCAAGATCCCACAGTTAGTAAGTCAAGAATCTGGGATATGAACCCAGGCAGTTCTATGACACTATGTTGACTGTACTTTATAAACTGAAAATCTAATATATTCTACTGGAAAAAAGATATTCTGCTTTCATCTCCTGAGACCGTCTTCCCAATATTCTATCATGAAAATCTTCAAACATACAAAAAAGTCAAAAAAATTTTACAGCAAATACCCACACACCCACCACCTAGACAGAGTCTATCAGTATTTCATTTAATTGCTTTATCACATATTTTTATCTAGCTATCAACAGAAAGAAATTTTCCTTATTTCATAGCTATTTTATTCCCCAAAGCTACAGCAAATATTAAGCTTTTGGAGAACATTTATATGCATTCCCTTTAAGATGAGCATGACAAGATACCCATCATCACTGCTAACACTTAAAAACAACAGAGGTACTGGCCAGCAATATAATAAAAGGAAATAGAAAGTTTAAAAATCAGAAGGGAATTTTTTCTTTTTTTTGCAGACAATATAATTATTTACATAAGAAACGCCAAAAGTTTTTGGCAGAGTAGGACAAGCTGGTTCTAAAATTCAAATTGAATTGCAAGAGACCCAAGATAGCCAAAACAATCTTGAAAAAAAAAGAAAGCGGGAGGACTCATAGCTCTGATTTCAAAACTTATAAAAAATTATGGCAATCAAAACAGTGTGGTACTGGCATAAGGACAGACATATAGATCAACAGAATAGACTTGAAAGTCCAGAAGTAAACCCATACATCTAAGATCAATTGATTTTCAACAGGTTGGCAAGACTATTTGATGAAGAAAGAACAGTCTCTTCAATAAATGGTTCTGAAAAAACTAGATATCCACATGCAAAAAAATGAAGCTGTAGCCCCCACTTCATACCATATACAAAAATCAACTCAAAATGGATGAGAGACCTAATTATAAGAGCCAAAACTATAAAACTTTTAGGAGAAAATACAGGAGCAAATCTTTGAGACCTTGGATTTAGCAATGGATTCTTATATATAACATCAAAAGCATAAGCAACAAAAGGGAAAAATGGACAAATCAGGCATCAACAAAATTTTAAACTTTTGTGTATCATAGGACATTACGTGAAAAGGCAAGCCAAAGAATGTTTACAAGTATTTTGCAAATCAATATTTCATAAAGATCTTATAATTAGAATATATAAAAAAT